CTATAATTTCGATAAATTGAAACCCTAATTTCAAAAAACCCTAACCACAACAACAACCAAACAATTACACAATTGACAATTAACACATAATATTTCAATATCCAATTCAACGTACACACATAATCATTAATCAATTACCAATTTCAAGTTTCAAACACCAACACATTCAAACATAATTATCAATCTCCAAATAACTCCAAACAAATATAAAAAGTTAAGATAAACCAATATACCTCGTGCGAATGAATTAACCGGAAATAAGGCTCGTGTCGCTGTTGTCGGTTCACGTTAGAGTGAAGATTGGATCGAGTTTTTTTTTTCTCAACTATTTTCGCTCTTCAAAATGCTCTCAGTAGCTCCTCTTCCTCTCTGCTGCTCGCTCGCGTAATGAATGGAGAAGAGAGATTTTTTTTTTAATATATTTTACGCAAAACGTATTTAAGGAATACGTCTTCTGTGCATTTAAATGTAAAACGTATTCCTTAAATACGTTTTGATTAAATGAATTTTTAAAAATAAAATAGCTTTTTTTAAGACGCATTTAGTAAATACGTTTTCTGAAAACGTATTTCTTAAATACGGTTTTTGTTTTATTTTTTTTATTTAACGAAAATTATTTTGAAAATTGTTTACGATTTTTTTTTTAATTAAAACATTTAAATGAAAACGTATTCAAGGAATAGGTTTTCTTAATTAATTTTTTTTTTGAAAAACGTATTCAAGGAATACGTGTGTTTTATGCTTGTCCACTCCCATTTTTCTTTTTTTTTTTGTCCACTTAATTTCAATATTTTTTTTAAAAATAAATCACCCGCGTTCAGATTGCCTGCCTATGTTAATTTCCAAGATTCTTGTAATATTGTTCTCTTTTATTTTTCTAAATTCTAATTTTGGATTTTAACTTTAATTGATTTTCTTGGCCAAAGCAAAAAAAAACAATAAAATGCAGCAATTAGACGGGTTCACCTGTTATACAGTTTTAACAAACGGAAAATGTTACGGTTCCGTTGCGGAATCATTTCGTCGGGGTTTGTTACCGTTAGATTACCTATCGCCCGACAGTTATATGATAATCTAACGGTTATAAATCCCGACGGAATTATTCCGTAACATGGCTGTAACATCTTCCAAAACAAACATACATATTTATACCATAATAGCTTTTATAATTTTATTTGTTTGAATATGAAAGTAAAAAGAAAATATCAATAGTAGTTTTATTAAAAAAAAAATACTGTTACATATGTTTTTTCTGGTAGATTTTTTAGAGTATTTATTTTTGCATAAGAAGAGATTTGATGGTGGCAAATGTGCAAAATGTAATAAGATGGAAAAGTCTATTTTTTGGATGAGATGACTTGGGTCTCTTCCAGTTTAACCAGTGGTCTCGAGTTCGAGCCCTGGGAATGCAGCAGTGTTAAAACTCTTGAGGGAGAGTTTTGCCGCCCTTGTGGTCCTACCCGGCTCGATTCCGGATTAGTCGGTTCCCCTGTGGATCCGGCAACCGGAAGGTCCCTATACCAACAAAAAAAAAGTCCATTCAATGCTCACACTCAATGTCTTATTTATTGTATTGGTCACACATATATTTAACTGAAAATAAAAGTGAGTAAAGTGAAACAGGTGTAGACATTGATATATAGAAGAAAAAAAAAAATGTGCAATAAAGTAGATTTGATATAACATAGATTTGTTTTGAGAAGACAATGCTTAGCTTTGTTATCGGGAATTGGAAAAAAGATGAAAGAAATTGACTTTGCTTGGAGTCAAATCACTTAAAAGTATGCAATAAAGATTAGGGTAATTTTCAGTATATACATTTACTTTTCTCTATACATTGTCTCACTAAAAAAAAACTTCATTTTAACCCTCCCCCAAAACTCCCAAAACTATATACGATGTATAAATCGTCTATCCAAATGAGTTGCACAATTAATAAATATCGAGATTTTATCGTGTATATATATATATATATTAATGCATATACAAATAAGACGCATAGTTAACAATACAAAATACATTCGCATATTTATTAATCGTGTACGCAAATCCATCGCGTCTTTTCTGTTATGCGAATTTATTTTGCTTGTGTGCGTGAGAGAGACAATTCACAGTGTGTGTATATGTTTGAGTAGTGTGTGTACATAGCATGTGTAAATTGTGTGTGCCTGAGAGACATAATGTGTTGATGGAGTGGGGCTCACATGACATATGTGAAGGATAAAATGTTTATTATATCTTTAATGGGTGTAAATAATTGACATTTTTTAACCCGTTGGATGATCAAATTTTATGGCTAAGATTCATTCTTATTTTGTATATCATTTTCACTTGAACTCTACATACACAATGACTAGTATGAATAACTATAGCTTATTTAATTCTAACAATTAATAAGAATATACTAAGTTTTTTTTTATCAAACAATAACTAAATATAGTAGTCCACATATTATTCACAACATATTCTAACATTCAAATATAAATCCTTGACTAAGATTTGGAAAACTCTTAAATAAGAATGTTATAGATTATAGATTACATAATTAAAAATTAATCATATAATATTAACTTAGATATTAAATAATCAAATAACATCTCAACTAATGATATATCCCATCATAAATCTAACACTTGTTAACGTATATTAAAAATATACTCGTCTATATAGTTAATGGAAAATGCTCCCCTACCCACGGTGGGCACATGTTAATATGTCTACCGCTTATGTGGTATGCACACATGAGTGATGTTAATATGTTCAAAAAAATATATCACCAATGTGTGCATGCCACATAAGCGATGGGCATATTAACATGTGTCCACCGTGATTAGGGGAGCATTATTGTATAGTTAATAGAATAGTTGTACATGACGGAGTATTTCAACATTGCCATCGATCATCCCGAGATTGTTATTGAAGCATTACTTGAGACTATCATTAGTCATAAGTTATCAATTGGATTTGTTTACATAAGATCCTAATTATCATGAACATGATGAATTTGTCTTGTTATAGTGACAACCCACCTATTAATATAATATAATAAGTGGTTATAAAAATGTGACCCACATGGTTTGGGGGCCCAACACAACCTGTAACCGTGGCTTATTCTTTTTT